TCGCACCCAGCGCCGCCGACCGGGTCTTCTCTGGGCTCCCCGGCCCCGGACAGCCCCGGCACGGCGCGGGGCGGGCGGGTTCTTACCTCCGACGACGAGGACGGTTCCGCGGTCCGTGAAGGCCATGTAGCTGCTGAGGTGCTCTCCGCAGTAAAACACGCCGGAGTCGGCGGGCCGGGCGGCGTGCACCGTCAGCTGGACCCGGTTCGAGTCGATTCTGGTGCTGCTGTATCGGCAGCCGGTGTTCTGGTTCAGTTTGCAGTCCGTGTTGAGGATCTCCAGCTTCCCGTTCGGGTCCATTCGGACCCAGCGGAGGAGCTCATCGAAGCAGCTCTGCTCTCTGCTACAGGTGCAGGGTACCGTGGCGTCCTGGCCCGGCTGGGAAAACACCCAGACCCTGTCCTGGGCCGGAACCGCTGAGGAACAAACAGAGCCCGCCAGGTTCGGCTTGTATAATAATAATAATAATAATAATAATAATAATAATAATAATAATAATAATAAGATCTCATAGTATTACTGCACGTTAATAATATATGAGCAAAAGCGATTTTAATAATAACAGCAACAATATAATGTATCATACTCTTATTTCACTTTAGCAACGATAATAATACAATTAGATCAATAGTAATTTAACAATTAATTATTAATAAAAGCTATTTGTTTTATTGCGGTTTAACAGACAAAACGACAGAAATGATATTAATTAAATATAATAATTAATAATTTAAATTAATAATGTTAATAAAGTCTAATATCATTATTGCACATGAACAACAATAATAACAGTAATTTTAATAATAACAGTACGAATATATTATCCAGATCTAACAGTATTAATGTTCATTAGCAAAGACGATGATAGAAGTGCAACAGTAATTTTAATAACAATGGTAATAATATTTCAATAAGATCTAATCGTGTAATTGCACATTAACAACGAAAATCAGAACAACAGCAATTTGAAAAATAAGAACAGCAAAAACAGACTAATAAGAATAAATCTAATATTAATACTGCGCATGATTAACGATAAAAACATTAGAAAAGCAATAGTCATTTAAATATTAACAACGAGAAACATATAAGACATAAAAAGGATACGAAATATTATCATAGGACATGAATAATAATATTAATGTAATAATCATAATTTTGGTTTAATCGTGCGTGCAAATAAATAAAAACAAGACTAAAATATTAGTAACCATAATAGATCTGTAAAACATAACAACGTTGTAAATGAACAATACTACAATAATATCTGTGTACTGTAGTAATTATCAGTAGTACTGTAGTAACTCGACGGTTATTCTGTGATTCTATGAGCGGACACGATTCAGAAAAGGTGATTCTGTTTAAAACAGTTTTACTCCTGTCTGTCTGAAGAGGCCGAATCGTCGAAGTTCTAACAGGCGGAAAACGACACGCTCGTCTTTAGTGTGGAAAGGAGTTTAAGGACTGTCGCTCCGTTCAATCGCCCGAGCTCTCGGTCAGGTTACAGCTGGCTTCGTCTCCAGTGATTGTTAGTCGCGACCGGAGCCGACACAACGTACAGTATAGGCTGAATATTTAAAAATCTCCTCAATTAGTATTATTATTTTTTATATTGACCACACAGTTACAAAACTCTGAAGAGAAAACATGGAACTCACCTTGAACGACAAACTGAAGACCGAGGAGCAGGACAAGGGAGCCCATAGCGGACCACAGCCTCATGTGCTCGGGGCTGTGTCGGCGGGTCGGTGTGTCCGGGGCTGTGTCGGCGGGTCGGTGTGTCCGGGGCTGTGTCACTGTGTCGGTGTGTCCGGGGCTGTGTCACCGTGTCAGTGTGTTAGTGTGTTCGGGGCTGTGTCAGACTGACTGAGGCGGTGTGTTCAGCACTGCGTCAGTGTGTTCAGGATCGCGTCAGCGTCTGTGTCAGAGAGCCAGAGGCGGTGTGCTCGGGGCTGTGTCGGTGTGTTCCGGACTGTGTCAGTGCGCGTTGTGTTCTAGACTGGCAGTGTACAGTGTACAGTGTGTTCAGGACTCGCAATGGAGAGTCCGTGTAAACTGTGCTCAGGGCTCACAGTAATGTATCACTGGGCTGTGTCAGTATGCAGTGTGCAGTGTGTTCAGGATGGTGTGTGCGGTGTGTTCGGGGCTCTGGGTGGTGTGTGTTGTGTACAATTTGTTCAGGGCTCTGTGTCAGTGTCAGTATGCAGTGTGTTCAGAGCCTGTGTGCTGTGTGCAGTGTGTTCAGGGCTCTGGGTGCTGTG